TGTTAAATAAACACAAGCTCTGATAATGAAACAGTAAGTCATTTGCATAGGTTAATTAAAACAGCTTCATAGTCTGTTTCTATGACGATTGGATTCCTAATTAAAATTGTCTTGAGGGTAATTTGTATTTTAATATATTTTCCCTGGTTTGTTGACAGTATACACTCTGAAGAAAGGCTCTATAGTCTCTTCTAGCGGTGCCAGGGGAAACATTAAATGAGTTTTAGTACTGTGTGTAATATTCTGACAAAAAAAGGTGTTGGAGCATAGAACCAGATGGTCACCGCAATAGGATGCATGCAAGCAAGCCTCACACAAACACAAATATTAATTTTAATTTTGATTTATTGTAATGTTTATAGTCAAGGAGCCTATATGGACAGGTGTTCGACATTAACATGTTTTTGCTGTAACACTAAAGGGAGTGCGTCGGGTTTGTCCAATGCACCTGTTTTGTTCATGTCAAATAAATAAATGAAAATGAAATGAAATCCTTACACCTGAACTCATTCCAATAGTTCATTAGTTAAGAGCCAAATGCTCAGTGTGTTACGTAAATCAATTTGAAATAACCATCTAAAGGGGCATAAAAGCAAACTAATAATTTGCTTCTTGAGTGATAAATTGTCTGGATCTATCATTTTTATTGGACAAGAAAAGCAATCTGAAATGAAACTATTATGCCCTTGTAATATAAAGAAGAAAATAACCGTTATGGAGTCTCATTACCGGGGACAGGAACTTGCAAGCAGTCAACACCATTATTTATACTGTGTCTTTATCTCAGAGTGGTGTACAAAAAAGGAACCAAAATGATCTCTGTGAAGAATGGCACTCTAGAACAATTTACCATCAGACACTTATTCCATCACCTGGACTTCATATACCCAACGTCATCTGAGGGCCTCTGCTTTGAACAAATTACAGTAAAGGGCTACTTTAAAATATGTCACTATAGAACATGGATCATTTCTAAAACAGAAACCATTTTCAAGTGAGCTATGGCGTGGTAATGGATGTGGCCTTGTGAACAATGCAATGACCATCACAAGTGTTGATGTTGAAGAGGGAGTGACGGTGTGACTACAAGGGCTGGTGGTAGGGTTGGGTGTTGGTACAGTATGTTGGGCACAAAGACTGATTTGAATTGTCTATAAAGCATTTCAATTACATATGTGAATCACTTTGATTTATTTAAATTCATAGAAATCTCTGTATTGACCCAAATGTCAATGCTGCTGGGGTTCTACGTCATGGTGCTACGTCCCTTAGGACTTCGCTAGTGGGATATCACTCGTGACCCCCAGGTCACGCGCCAGAGAGATCAAAATAATTTGCTCCAATCACCAGCCACCTTCCTCTATAAATGCCCCTGCACAAGGCCGTACCCCCTCTTTCACTCTGGCGCCGATTGAGATCTACATTTCAATTTACCTGAGGAAAGATGTCTTCTGATGCTCGTCCGAGTTCCCCTTCGCCATCCGGCGTCGGACGTCGTCGTTGCTCGACTTGTCGGGTCAAGCTCCAGCGCAAGGACCAGCACTCCAGCTGCTTCGTGTGCCTGGGTTCGGGCCATGCGGCGTTGAACGCCACCTGCGCCTCGTGTTTCGCTCTCCCCAGGGAGGAGAGTGAACGCAGGCGCGCGTTCTTCGCCGCTACAGCGCCCCGTCCGGACTTCTCTCAGGACGAGGAGTCTGTGATTGACTGCGCCCCCCTCGACCTTCCACCCGTGCCCGCGGAGTGGGGTGACTGCGAGGACGGAGAGGTGTCGGAGGTCGGCTCTCTCCTCACGCTGGACGAGGTGGTGTCCAACCCGGAGCCGGACCGCTTCCCGCTGGACCACATGCCTGGGCTCTACTCCACAGCGGCGGCCATCATGGATGCCCCCCTGCCACCGCAACCGAACCAGAGGGTGGAGGACTTCACCTCTGGTTACGCCACCACTCGAGGGAGGAGAGCGCAGCCCACGTTGTGCCCGCGTATGGACCCGATCGTCCATTACGCGACACGTGAGTGGCCAAAGCCCCTAACGGCCAAGAGGCCCGCTTTGGGGTACGGCATGTATTGTAACGTGCAGGACTGGTTCTGGACCGGCGGGGTCCCGGACATCGAGGACTCGGTTCGAGCGGCCCTGCACCCCTCCGCATCCGTGTGGCCTGGCACCAGACCTCTCCTTCCCTCCGAGCGGGATAGGATGTCTTTGGCGATGCACGATAGATGTTACGCCAATGCGGCTCAGGTAGTCGCGGTGGCTAACAACATGGCCTTCATCACCGGGGCCCTGGATAGGTCGCTCTCTTCTGGCCAGGCGCTCAGTGGAGACACCTTATCCCAGGCGAGGACCACTTCAGCAGCGATCCTGCGCATGTGCCAGGCGCTAGCTATCGATGGCGGCCGCACGATGGCAGCAGCACAAGTTGGGGCCAGACACCTCTGGCTGGGGCCGGTGAACCTCAGAGAGGCGGAGAAGAGGCAGCTGCTGGACCTGCCCATCTCCCAAACGTCACTCTTCGGTCCGGAGATGCAGACGCTGATAACTAGGCTGGACACCGCAGCTAAGGACTCTGCTAGCCTAGCCCAGCATCTAACTGCGAGACGCGAGGCCCGCCCACCAGCGCGGAGCCGAGACAGAGGCAGGGAGCGCTCGCCCGGCAGGCGCCCCGGACCATATCCACGCTCCGTGGTTCATTGTTCCCCAGCGACGAGGCCCCCGGGCCCAGACAGGCACACGGGAGGCTCGCGGGACCAACGCACCCACCGACGACCTCCCTATGGCAGAGGAGGTCGGGGTGGGAAGAATTCTTTCAATAAAAGCCGTGCGGCATTTCATCAGTACTCGCTGTCTGAGTCTCATTTGGGGGTATGTAACATGTCAAATGATTTGAATTCTGATTGTGTTACTTCTCGAGCATATAACGTGGCTCCGCTAGGCCTGCAGCCCCCAGAGAAGGGCGTGCAGCGTGCTATGCGGGCCACGGGCTCCGATTCACGGGTTCATGTTTTGCCCTCCCGGAGAGAGGGCAGGCGGAGGGATCTGGTAAGTGATAATGTGTGTGCTCCAGCCGAACGCGTGTTAGCATCTCTGAGCTACAAGGCTAACACGGGGTTTCCCACTCCAGGGGCTCGTCCCCCCCTCCATGAGGCAAGAGCCAAGGGGGGGCACAGCAGCCATGTCACGTGTGGTGAGCAGAGCTACAAGGCTAACACGGGGTTTCCCACTCCAGGGGCTCGCCCCCCCCTCCATGAGGCAAGAGCCAGGGGGGGGCACAGCAGCCGAGTCACGTGTGGTGAGCAGTCCCGTACTTATGACGTCGGACCTGCAGAACACGTGACCGCCCTCGGCGCTCACGGTGTGACGCAGGGGCCCCCCCGGCCCTTTCAGCCACCCCCCCTCCCTGCTAGGAACACCAGGAGAGGGCGGGGCTGTGACGTCTCGTGTTCCAACTCCCGTTCCGCCCCTCACAGATTCTACAGCATCTGGAGAGAGCAGGGCCTACTGACAGATATTTGGCTGGAGAAAACTCTGCGCAGAGGTTACGCGCTGCAATTTTTCCGAAAGCCACCACCATTCCGAGGCGTACGGGCAGTACGCTCTCAGGTACGGGGATCGACAGAGGCACTACAAGCGGAGGTCTCCTCTCTGCTGAGTCGAGGCGCAGCAGTGGAAGTAGACCCGCAGGACGCCACCAGGGGGCTGTACTCCCCTTACTTCTTAGTGCCAAAGAAATCAGGCGGGGTGCGTCCCATTCTGGATCTGCGCGTGTTAAACGAGTGCATTTCCAAACGGCAGTTTCGGATGCTGTCCACAAGGCAGCTCCTCGAGTGTGTCAGGGAAGGAGACTGGATGACTACCATAGACCTGACAGATGCGTACTTCCACGTGCCCATAGTGCCAGAACACAGGAGGTTTCTGCGCTTCGCAGTGGGAGAGAGGAATTACGAGTACTGCCGTCTACCCTTCGGGTACGCACTCGCGCCTCGGACTTTTTCCAAATGTGTGGAAGCAGCTCTGGAGCCGATCAGACGTGCGGGGGTAAGAATATTAACCTATATAGACGATTGGTTAATACTGGCCCCATCCAGGGAAGTGGCCCTGAGTCATACGCACTGGGTCCTGTCCCACATACAGCGTCTGGGCTTTGTGGTGAACAGGGAGAAGAGCAAGCTGCAGCCAGCCCAACGCATGGTTTATCTCGGTCTGCAGCTAGACTCTGTGATATTCCGTGCTGCATTGTCCGTGGACAGACGGATGAATATTACCCGTCTGGCCCGGGAGGTTCTGGCGGGCCCCAGAGTCCCCGCTCGGCGCCTCAGGTCCCTGCTGGGAATGATGGCAGCGGCTCATGCTGTGGTGCGGCTAGGCCTGCTCCACTGATCTGGGTTCCCCAAGTGGCAGCATCGGACATCAGGTTCTGGCTCACTCCGGGTCTATTGCGGGACGGAGTGACTCTGGCCTGCGCCGTGTCTCACGTCGAGGTGTTCACGGACGCGTCGCTCGAAGGATGGGGCGGGGTCCTCGGCCAGAGCTCTGTAGGAGGCTGCTGGTCGGACTCAGCCCGTCACATCAACCTGCTGGAGATGGCGGCAGTGCACAGAGTACTGCTGCACTTTGCCCCTCAGCTGCAGGGGAGACACGTGATGGTGCGCTCAGACAACACCACAGTGGTCTCCTATCTGAACAGGCAGGGGGGCACCAGGTCCCCCGCTCTCCATCGCATGGCGACGGTGACGCTGCTGTGGGCGGCGCTTCACCTCCTGTCTCTCAGGGCGCGCCACGTCCCGGGGGTCCGGAACGTGGGAGCCGACAGGATGTCCAGGGGGGGCCCACTCCAGGACGAGTGGGGCCTGGCCCCACGGGTAGCTGCGGAGATCTGGCGGAGGTTTGGCCGTCCAGTGGTCGACCTTTTCGCCAGTGCAGAGAACGCACAGTGCCCGTCCTGGTTCGCCTTAAGGGCCGCGGACGAGCCGCCTTTAGGCGTGGACGCTCTGGCTCATTACCCATGGCCAGGCGGCCTGTTGTACGCTTTTCCACCGGTGCGTCTCCTGCCGGTCCTGCTGCGGAGGATCGAACAGGAGAGGAGATCGGTGATCCTGGTGGCTCCGGACAGTCCGCATGCCCGGTGGTTCCCCTTCCTGAGGGGCATGGCGGTGATGGAGCCCTGGGCCCTCCCGGACGAGCCGGGGGCTCTAGTCCAGGGGGCAGGAGCCCTGTTTTCACGTCCGATAATCGGCCGCAGGCTCTGGGTTTGGAGGTTGAGAGGCGGAGCCTCGTTGATCTGGGTCTTCCCCCTGCGGTGGTGGAGACCATTCAGGGAGCGAGGGCGCCGTCCACCGTGAGGGCCTACGCCACGAGGTGGAGGCTATTCAGTGTCTGGTGCGATTCCCGTTCCTGGGATCCCAGGTGTTGCCCGCTGGAGGGGGTCCTGGGATTCCTACAGGAGCTCTTCGACAAGGGGAGGGCTGTCGCTACCTTGGCGGTGTTCGCGGCAACCATTACTTCGGGTCACGACGGATTCGGGGGGGTTCACAGCCCGTTCTCACCCGTTGGTTAAACGTTTTCTGCGGGGGGCGCGCAGGAGGAGGCCCCCGCTCCAGAGAACGCCTCCGGTTTGGGACCTCAGGGTGGTCCTTAGGGGGCTGTCGGGTCCGCCTTTTGAACCGGCGGCGGAGGCGAGTCCCGAGTGTATCGCCTTTAAGACGGCCCTCTTACTGGCGTTGGCGTCTGCAAAGAGGGCGGGCGATTTGTGTGCGCTCTCCGTCCATGCGTCGTGCCTGTCCTTTGGAGAGGACGACGGCATGGTGGAATTGTGGCCCAATCCGGCTTTTCTCCCCAAGGTCATCACGTCGGCCTTTAGGTCGAGGGTCATCAGGATTAGGGCTTTCCACCCGCCGCCGCATGCCTCTCCCGAGGAGGAGCGGCAGCACCTTCTGTGTCCTGTCAGAATGCTGAGGCATTACCTGGCCATGACGTCGTCATTCAGGTCGGGTGATCAGCTGTTTGTGTGTCTGGGCCCCAAGAACAGGGGCGCCCCGCTGTCGGCTCAGCGGCTGGCGCATTGGGTCGCCACGGCGGTGCGGCGGGCGTATCAGACGCAGGGTCTGGCCCCCCCGGTGGGTTTCAGGTCGCATTCCACGCGTGGGATGGCGGCCTCTACGGCCCTTCTCAGGGGGGCGTCGTCGAGGACGTTTGCCGTGCGGCTTCTTGGGCGTCGTCCTCCTCTTTCGTCCGGTCTTATCTTTCGGATGTGTCGGACCGGTCGGTGGCCCATTCCGTGCTGAGTGCAGCGGACTGAGTTAGACCGTTGGGTCCCTCCCCTGAGGGGGGCCTTCGGTCTATTTTCCGCCCTGGTGCAGGAGCTCTTGGGAGAGGCATCCTACAGGTGCGGTACATTTTGTGTGTGTGGTCGGTCTGGTAGTCCACGTCAGGAGCTCTTGGGAGAGGCGTCCTGTGACTACGGATGACCTACGGCTTGTGTTACGTGGGGGTATCCTTGGTAGGAGTGGCCCCGTAACACGCTTGTTTTTTCTGCCCTGAGTCCTCTCACGTTGTGAGGGTCTTGCTCGGGCGGAGCTCCAATCACCTTCGCTGGCCTGCTGGGAGTACATTTTCCTACGGCCTCCGCGTTGTGTCCCACTAGCGAAGTCCTAAGGGACGTAGCACCATGACGTAGAATTAATAGTTACTTAATGTAACTTAAGTTCTACGAATAGGTGCGTAGTCCCTTAGCTACGAGCCCATCAGGCCAGCCCGGCTTGGCAGAGTTCAAGAGGGGGTACGGCCTTGTGCAGGGGCATTTATAGAGGAAGGTGGCTGGTGATTGGAGCAAATTATTTTGATCTCTCTGGCGCGTGACCTGGGGGTCACGAGTGATATCCCACTAGCGAAGTCCTAAGGGACTACGCACCTATTCGTAGAACTTAAGTTACATTAAGTAACTATTAATTATCATGGTTGCTTAGTCTGGACCTAAGCAACCTAGGCAACTGGAAGAAGAAAAATGTGTTGGTTTCCATCATGAAAAAACAAAAAAACAAATCTATTGACTGTGGTTTTGTATAGTGGAGCTACATTCTTAATTATTTATTTGGATACGTATTTAAGAATTTATTCAAGTGGTGGTCAGACAAACTGATGGCAGAATTCATTATTCCTCTTCATCTTGGAAGGTGCATGCATAATGAAGGCTTTGCTCATGATCAATTTCAGAGGCCAATTATGGGCATGCAGCTGTTCGGCCAGATGCCAGTGGACTGAGATCTGAAGTCAGCTCACCACAAATTAGACCTGGAGTTTTACAAAGTGTGGAATCAGAGACCGGACATGGGAAGGGTACTGCCCCCTGTATATTGCAGATATTCCATTAATGATGCTTGTACATGACGTAGCTTAAGTTTGAATAAAAAACAAATGTATGCAATCCAATAACTTTTACGAATAAATTAATTTTGAAGAGACTTATATAATTTACAACTTCCCAGTGTTAAGGGAAGAACAGTTAATAAAGAGGGGTAAAATCAACGTTTCTACTAATAGGCCTTTTGATTGGATTATAATGAGCAAACACAACCTATCTACAAATATAAATATGGAAAAGCCCCCCTGTTTGTTACATGCATGTGTCCAACTGGCCATCACCAAGAGGGAGCACTCTACATCTGGGTAGGGGCCAAACTGTAATATACTGCAATGCAGATGGATTTTTCATTGCTCTGTTTGGATGAGGGCAGAGTGGTACATGGCCTCCATTTTCCCTGAGTCTGTGTTGTGTCGGCAGCCTCCAGTCAAAACGCATGATCATCATTCCTCCTCTCTTTATTACCACAATGAAGTGTGTCCTCTCAGCCTGACTATTTCATATACGCCCAAACTCATGACCTCATCAGAAAGTAGAAATTGATTTACCACGCCGCAATTCCCCTCTCAAGCCTTTTCTGATTTGGATTTTAATAGCAGTGAGGATACGATGTGCTGAAGTTTTGCATTGCTCAATTATATCCTATGTCATAAAGTCAGCTTTGATGCAATGGCAATGATAGCTCATCTGATATGTGACAATAAACAAAAGAGGAATATTATGTCACTTGTCAAATGACACGGATGCTATAACCTTGAATAATATAATACGCTTTCATTGACTTATCTATGCCTACATGCAACAGCCTTTGTAGTCTTTGGACCATAAAATTCACAATCATCTAAGAGCAAAAAAGAGATTACACACATTTGTGGTTCAGAATAAGACCTGATTGAATAATAAGCAGCGGTAATAGAGCGTCTTTTGTTGTCAAAGATGGCAGGTTAAGGTGATGTATTTGATGACAAGCATTTGTGTGAGCCCACTGAAAGACATCATTAATCTTGTCATCGGGATGCTGTGGACATAAAATTAAAGGGTTGGGAAATTACTTGTCATTCTCCCAGCAGTCCACTGGAACGTTTTAAACAGGGAGGTAATTGTTTTCCTGATTAGTTTGATGTTTTGTGTCTATTTATGTACATCTTCTGTTAACAAGGACATGGTTTTCCGGAGCCCTACCCCCCACTGCTTGTTCCTCCTCTCTCTTCTCCATACCCAATTGAGTATGAAAAATCCCTTTGAGCTGCAAAAATAGACATAGGGTTGCCTTTACTGAAGAAGCAAACGCAAAAGCAGCCAATTCAAAGAGTAATTTTTAGCAAATTGAACCGAACTGGTTGTCAAGGAACTCTTAAAGAATACTAATTAGCAGGTTCAGTGTGAAAAAACAGAAAGAGGTTGTGAATGGGGGTGATTTGGCTATAGCTAATATGTAAATATTTAAACAACAAGGCTATTATGTTGCTTCATAAATGTAGTTGTTTTGACCAATTCACAACCCGACTGTGCAAAAAACCCCAAATTATATTACTGTAATTAAGAAAGTACCTTAAGATGCCATTTTACATAACCTGGCATCATGTTAGCTGCATATCTTGGCCTGGTTCATAGTCATTCTCAGTCTATATTCAGTCAGTCTATAGCCAAAAAACGATTAATGTTCTACTGTTTTGAACCATCTCATACTCTGAGTAGAACAGGGACTGGCCTGCATCTCACTCAGTGCTTCAGATCTTCCTGAAAAGTTTTTTTCTAATCCTTTATTGCTCTATAATTTCTTGTCTTCTGTTTGTTTTATGCTTTACAGCAATTTGGGCGACGCAGTGACAGAGCAGTTAGTAGTTTTGAAAGAAGGTTGAATCCCGCACAAGGGCTTTCTAAGTGGAGTTTGCATGTTCTCCCTGTGTCTGCGTAGGTTTCCTATACCACTAAAACGGTTTTCCATATACCACTAAAAACGTGTCCTGACCAGTGGGGGCGGTTCCTGGCTCAAAAGTGGCCAAAATGACCTGCGCTGACATGCTTGCAATACCACCCCGGGGCCGATGGGGGTGGACCTGGAATAAGAATTAGCCAATGCTAACATATAGCATTAGCTGTCCTCTCAAAAACACCTTTACAGGATGATCCAAATGTTGGCTCATGGCCCAAAGCTCCGTTCCACATGTGTGTCAATGCTGAGGGGAGTGATTTTTCTTTGGACCACGCTAGTTTATTCGCTGTGAATTTTTGAAGGCACTCGTTAAATGAATGGAGCTCGGGCTGGCTGACAAATGCACAGATGCGTTTTTTTCACATTTTCCAGCCCCCACGGCCATTTTGAAACTGCCCATAGGCCGCGGAAGTTGTGGCACATTAGTTAGAACGGTGGAGATAGGCGTGACTACGTCCATTCATTTTTACAGTCTATGGTCCTGACTAAGCTGAGCATCAACATCTGGTGATGGGTCCCCCGGATGCTACACTGTGGCGACCGGTGCTCCTGACAGATCGCCCTCCTGGTATTGCAGGGTGGGTCAAATGTAGAGGACAGGTATCAATAAAGTTTACCTTGAATACATTTGCCTTGCTTTCTTATAATTTCAAACTACTTCAACTGCTACAACAACTCTTAATGATAATAATTTAACTCACTTTGGCAACTCAGTTAAATCTTAAATGAATGAGCTTTCCACTTGAGAAACATCCATTGACACAATATCACATCTTGTCCCATCGCGGTGTTGTTTTCTCCGTTGAGACACAGAGCTGTGACGGAGCTGTTGACAGACGAGCACACGCCCCACTCCAAGATATGGCTCTGGCTTTACACACTGAAGACCGAACCTGATCACGATGCTCTCCTGGGAATGTGCTGATGTGCCAAAAAGGCTCAAGTTCACAAGCAACAAAACCCAAGGACGCAAGCCACCTGCTGCTGCTCAAAAGACAACAACAGGCCACAGTGGCACACCGCTCGGCTCCTTCACAGAACCAGCGCTGACCGGATCACCCAGGTTAGCATTGATCCAGTGCAGAGGCCAGACAAAGCAACTTCTGCAAAAAATCTTTAATTGTATATATTCTAATTAAGAGTCCATTGTTGGTCTTAGGAGGAGCAACCAGCTGTGTTTTAGGAAATGTCAAATGGGGCTTTGTTGGATTAATTTGATTAATTTATCTTACCGGCTTGACAAGTCAAGAATATCACATCTTTCATTTTTTTCCCCTCATGATCTTGGTCCAGATTTTGTTGTCGAAATGACCTCCATTGTCAATGGCAAAGAAATGCATAAAGCCGCTTTCAACAAAGGAGTGCATTGAGTGCGATATTATGAATGCTGGTGTGATTACAATGTAACCCATGCATAATTCATCTGTGTCATGTATAATTTTGATATGATATGCTTGATTAGAAAGTGTTGGCTCTATGAAATAGCCGATAGGCACGGGTATAGATCCTTTCAATTTGAGTCTTATATATAAAATGTGTCTTTTAAACATTACATAGAAAGATTTTAAAACCAGTGCTTCTCAACCCACTATCAATATATAATATAAAACCATGACCCAAATTACAACTAAATATGAAAATAATTGTATGTTTTATAAGAATATTATTTTTTTATATTAATTGAATAATACTACAAAGCTAAAACAAAGTATGTCTTACATTTAGTTTATTTATCTAATTGTAAGTGTTTTTCCTTCTTGATGTGTGTATATAAACCCGCATTATGGAAAAATGGCACGAGCATTTTTTTCTGATGATGCACATTGAAAGAGTTTTGTTAAACATACAGTAGAAGGAAGATCCATATGAAGTAGGAATAAAGTATTCAGGGAAGATCATTGCTACTTCATTAGAGCAATAATGCAATGTCAACAAGTTGCACCACAAGTTTAGTTTGAAGCATAGTATGTGATAAAATCTGTATTCAA